AGACTTAGTAGGCCGCAGGGAGGTCTACATGCCTGTTGACGGAATGGGCATCTGAGTACCATGCCTCAAGCGTCGGCCTTTCGGCTTTTGAGTTTCCTCGGCCTACGATGGTTTTTCCTTAAATATCGAAGTCGTTGCCAGTCTCTCCAATGTGTGCTGCAAGCTGTGAGTTTGGGTCTAGTCTCCGAGCCGCAAGTTTGTGTTCGTTTGGTCGGGTCTGAAATTTTTGGCCTGTTACTCCTACGTATTTACAGTCTCCATCGTTGCAACGTTTCTTGTGGACAACTGCAGAGGTTTCGTTAGGGGGCAGTCTGTCTTTACGTAGCATCACACAGTGGCGTACTGTCGCCTGAGGTCGATGGGCTATTTCTACTCCAGCGGGTTGTAACAGTCATGAGACCGCTTCGGAGACACCCTTTATGTTGGGAAGCTCAGGGCAATGAATCAATTGATCTGGTGCACTACTCGTCTTCTTCTTTGCGTTGCTGGTTTATGCAATCGGCCACGTGCGGTGTATTATCGCGATAATGGCTTGAGAGAGAGAGAGAGAGAGAGAGAGTTATTCTTACGCCGACCCTGTCCATTACGCCAGCAGTGCAAGGCGCGACTACTTAACTGAATCTCTGTGAAAGTCCACTGATTCGCCAAGTTGAATTGACTCTGTATGACGCCGTGTCACACAGGTGTGCAGCTTCGGTGCACAGACTAAACTATGCGACATCGCTTAGTAAAATGCGTGACATGTTAATCCAAAAATCACGACTTCGTGCGTGATTCTGCTAACGTCTTTAAAATTTCACTTTGTTCGCGCTTTCGACCGTCCAGCGCTCGTCCATTAAAATCGCCGCCTAAAAAGCCGGAGACAGTTTCCTTGTCTCGGGTTATTGCAGCGTTTTAGTGGATGTTTACCTCTTTCCCGTAGCTGGCCTATAGCCTTCTGGTGGAGCCTTTAAATACTCGATTGCGCGATGGTCAACCTCGTTTAATAGGCTCTCACTACTTTTTTGTGCCTGCATATTAAGGCTACAGAAGATCGCATGCGCAGTTAATATATTAACTTGATACTTCAGAACCGTGTAAAATATTTCTTGGGTAAAACCGTTGAAACAAAGCAAAACTGTCTTAAGCGTTATCCTTCCCGCCGTTGTTAGCAAACCCAAGAGCGTAGGACCTCATTAAAAGATAACTCGGATAATGCAAAATGCTGGTTTAAATTGGGCATTTTTCCGGTAACTACGCAAATCGTACTGATGGCCTATGCAGTACTGAACTGTACACGTCTTTTTGGTCATTTTGGCGAGGTTTGACTGTGATCCCCACTGTACAACAGGATTATTATATCCCATACCATGATCCATGAGATACTCTTCGTATATGGACAAAATGGCATTAGTAACAAGGACACGGGAGACTGGAGTGGACGTTTCTGACTTATTAGCCGTCATCAGCCGGCCATACCCGACCCTAGGGATGGCAACCCCGAGTGTTAAACCCGTGGCCTGGTGATTAGATGTCCACAGCTTTAATCATTGGGCCACTGGGTAGTTGTTTTTTTATTTCGATCGGGAATGCTATTATTGAAAGATGGGCGCTCAAAGATCGATCATGGAATTCACTCGTCCCATTTTGCCTTTGAGCTTGCTCTCGAGTCCCGTCAGCAACCACTGAATGTCTAAAACATAGGCAGAAATACATTACCGGCAGAAACAGGGGAGACTGGAATGACCACTTCTGACTTGTTAGCCGCCATCAACCAACCATACCCAACTGCTGGTGTTTTGGCAGCTGAGGTTTGAACCCAGGACCTCTTCGTTCGAAGTTTAACGCTCTTATCCACCTCGCTACGGGCTTGTTGTTTTGACGGCTTCTTTCCCAAAACCGTAACTGATCCATGAGTGCCTATATACTATGTTTACTATTTTTCGATCGGAACCAGCCTGGGGCGTTGGGCGTTCGGCTTCTAATCAAGACGTTGTGGTTTCAAGCATCACGTTCAATAGCACCTGGGGCTGGATATGGCTAACCCATGACGGCTAATAAGCCAGAAATGGCCATTCCCATTTCACTTGTCTCTGTCGGCAATGTTCAGTGGCCTTTAATATAAGCCGCTGTG